ACACACAGCACCCACAGACACACACAGTACCCCCAGACATACACATCACCCCCAGAAACACACAGCACCCCCAGACACACACATCACCCTCAGACACACACATCACCCCCAGACACACATCACCCCCAGACACACACATCACCCCCAGACACACACAGCACCCCCAGACACACAGCACCCCCAGACACACAGCACCCAGACACACACAGCACCCCCAGAGACACACAGCACCCCCAGACACACACAGCACCCCCAGACACACACAGCGCACCCAGACACACACAGCGCACTCAGGCACACAGCACCCTCACTCACACACAGCACCCTCAGACAGACAGCACCCTCGCTCACACACACACATATATATATATGTGTATATATATATATATATATATATATATTTACAGATATATATATATAATATATAAAATAACCCTCAGTGAGTTAACAGACAAAGAAAATTAGAATGTGACGGCAGATAAAAACACCCTCACACACAGCACCCCTCTTACATACACACACACTGCGCCCCTCACACATACAATACGTCCAAATATATATATGTATGTATATATATATATATACACACACACACACACACACTACAGCACTACATACATTACGCTCCAGATACACGCTAGATCCCTTACCTTATATGCACTCTTAATCCTCTATACACACACACACACACAATCTCCTATACACACTCTGGGTCCTTTACACACTAGATCTCCTACACACACACTGCACCACCTACACACACACTACATTCCTTGTCAGCAAACACATACAACATTCTCTAAACACACCCTCTCTACAACCCCTACACACACTACGTCACCTATACACACACACTACAGCCCGTATGCACACACTCGCTACATCCCCTATAACACTATGCCCCCTATACACACACTCTCTACAGCCCCTAGCCACACATATTACACCACAAACACAAATGAAATTGACCTATTTACACAATACCACACCACACTCTACACACACGCAATCCCACAAGCAGGCTCCAAACACATGCACCATACACTTTCCTGGCCCTTTTGTCCTCTGGTATCCCACTTGTTGAGACACCAGAGACAATTTAAAAGCAAACACAGCGCAAGCATGTTATTAAATTTGCTTGCGCTGCGCAGAACAAATACAGGGCCTTTTTCTAATGCCAGAGCTCTTCAGCGCAGCTCTGCGCATTGAACCAACATGCTCACTTTGAGAGGAGGCGTGCTTGTCATTAGTGATGACAAAACACACCCTCTCTGGCCCCGCCCCCTTCTTAGGGGGCCGCTCTGATTGAAAGATGCCCGGGCCTAATTTTTTTCCCAGTCCGGCCCTGGTGCTCTCTGTATGGATGTATATTGTAGGTAGAAATAAAATCGGACTTACAAGTACAGAGCAGTCCAACTGCTCTTTGGTGTCAGCACTGGTGGAATAATCCCCACCTTAGGATTTCTTTGACTGCCAGGAACTTGCAGGAGTGATGTTAAGACCGGAATAAAGTTTTAATATATATATATATATATATATATATATATAAAATATGCCAGGGGTAAATGTATAGATAAAAATGATTGGAGCTATCAAGTAACCAAAACTTTAATTTTTATTATACAAAATTATATTTCCATTAACGCGTTTCGTCGTGCAGACTTTCTCAAAATGGAATGCAATACAATACCTGACAGATAATGATTATATAGACACAGTTAATTACAAAAAATGGCGCCAAAAAAAATTTTGGCCAATCAGAATGAACATACTTATTTACATATCAAATTCACAATATTAGATGATTTGCAGATAATATATAGTTACCAAATTACTATTATTTGGACTGAATATTGTTTATCCAGCTTGGTGCAGCCCTTTTTCCTTTTTTATTCAGTTTCTATCCTGTATTTTAGGGTTTTAGGGGGATCCCCTTTCTCGGGTTTAATAGGTTACTTGGCGCTGTCTCTTTCTTTGATTTATTTATTACCTGAAGATTAACCCTGAAGATTAAATAGGACACAAGTATTGGTATCAGAGGGAGACACACATCAGAGGGATCTAGGGAAATGTAGCAGCGAGGGGACAGAGAAAGCATTAGGAAGATGCGTGAGTGCAAGAGGGACTGAGTGACTGTAGGGAGGAAAGTGAGAAAAACCAGGAGACTGAAGGGAACGGAGAAATTGAGAACAAAAAACTGCACAGAATGGGTAAAGGGCTTGACTGTTTGGGAACAGCATAATAAAAGTAATTTAGGAAATTAGGAAAATTAAACCAGTGGGGAAGGAGCACAGTTGCAGAGAAAAGGCAGATTGAATGACGAATAATGATTGGTGTAGATAGATTTACACCCTGTTACAAATTATTATGCAAATTATATTTTTCTCATTTACCTAAATAATTAATGTAAATAACAGTCAGCATAGTTCTCATGTAATCAACTATTAAGAGTACAATTCAAATTTTATTGAACAAACTTACAATCCACTGTTCTAAATTATTACGCACAGTAAGTTTCAAAACACTTTATAGGTTGTAAAGAACTGAAAATTGTCATTTGTTGTGTTTGCAGCATATTTACTGAAATCAAAAGCTATTTCAATAAAACTTATAACAACATTTTAACTTTTTAAACATTTTAACAGGT